CCTGTTTTGCCTCCTGTACCCCAAGCATTCTTTGTTCATGCACCAATAAACTTCCGTGCAATTCGTCAATGGTGAGAACATTGAGGTCATTTGATTCCTCTATAGCACAAACAACATAGTTGAATTTAGGAGTTAGAGATCTCAATATTTTGCTCACCACCGTGCTCTGTTTCATCACTTCTCCATTGGATTTCATTTTGCTTACCACAGTCATGATGCGGCCCATAAAATTGTCCACCTTTTCCCCTTCTTTCATTGTGAGTAACTCAAATTCTTTCCACAATGCTTGGAGTTGTGCACGTTTCACTCTTGTAGAACCTTGATACTTTTGCCGCATTGAATTCCAAATTGCCCGTGATGTGCTCTTGTCAAGGATAGTCTCTAATATTTCTCTGTCAATAGATTGAAACAGAAATTTTTTGACACGTAAATCTTTGAGTTTGGCTTCCTCCACAGTTTTCAATAGAGTCTATCCACCGGGTCTTGTACTAATCACACGTGTAGGAACCCCTTCCTCCACTAGACTCCACAATTCTTTGCTTCTAATAAAATTCTCCATGGTCATTGACCAAAAATCATAATGACCCTCAAATTTGGGAATAGTAGGCTGCACAAATTCGGAAGTAGACATCTTGGGTTTCTTTTAGAGATTCACTTACTCACAACTCACTCACCGTTTGGATCAGGCCCCTTGCGGAGCTCTGATACCAATTATTGGAAGATATAAAATGCGTAGGAAGACAAATGTTAACGTGAATGGAAAATAGAAGAAGCTGTAAATTGTTGTGTTTTATTCAAAGATAATTGCTGACTTAAATAGAGCCACTAAGAAACAGAATAGATCTCAGTTGGAATGTGACTCTAATTTATTGGAAACTGCCCTACAGATTAGGAGTAAATGTTGCACTATTAACATATTGCTAAACAGAATAATAAATAAAACAACAAAACCTTAACAACTCCTTCATCCTTTGTGGGTTTAGGAGGTTGTTTCATCCTTTGATTTGTTCAAAGGAGGTGTTCATCCCTAGTGAGATTCTAGGGAGGTGTTCATCCTTAGTGGGATTCTAAGGAGGTTTTTTCATCCCTTTGATTTGTTCAGGGAGGTGTTCATCCCTAGTGTGATTCTAGGGAGGTGTTCATCCTTAGTGGGATTCTAAGGAGGTGTTTTTCATCCTTTGATTTGTTCAGAGGAGGTGTTCATCCCTAGTAGGATTCTAGGGAGGTGTCCATCCTTAGTGGGTTTCTAAGGAGGTGATTGTCTTTTTAATTAGTTTACTTTTTACTGGTTCTTATGCTGAGTTGATTGTAATTTGTAAACTGAATTTGAAAGATAGTGAATTGGGAGTCACTCTTGTGTTAAGAGTTGACTGGGAACTGGATGTAGGGTTGGATATACCCAAACCAGTATAAATGACTGTGTGCTCTTATCTTTCCCTTATTTCTTTCTCTTTTCTTGATTATATTATCACTTCCGCTTTATTTGTGTTCAAACAAATTATTAACTCACAAATAAATTTTTAATTTGACATCTATTAAAATTTGTACATCTATTCACCCCCCCTCTGGATGTCATTTGTATGGTTATTCAATTAGCTACAGGAAAGCTTGGATAGGAAAATAGAAAGCACTTGTCATGAATTTTGGTGATTGGGAAGAGTCATACAACCATCTTTTCATATGGTTCCAAGCTGTTAAAGAAACTCTTCCTGACACCATTGTCTAATATATGGGTAGTCCTTATTTTATAGATGGAGTTGAAGATCCATCATGTTACATTGTTCAGAGAATTTTTTGGTCCTTCAAGCCATGTATCGAAGGATTCAACTATTACAAGTTTGTCATTCAATTTGATGGGACATTCTTAATAGGAAGATATCATAAAACTTTATTAACAATTATTACACAAGGTGAAAATCAAAATTTATTTTCATTGGCATTTGCAATTGTTGAAGGAAAACAAAACTATTACAAATATGTCATTCAAGTTAACAAGACATTCTTAAAAAGAAGATATCACATAACTTTATTAACAACTATTACACAAGATGGAAATCAAAATTTATTTCCATTAGCATTTATAATAGTTGAAAGGAAGACGAAAGAAACTTTGATTTAGTTCTTCCAATTGTTGAAACAATATCTTGCACCTTAACAAAACTTGTATATCATAACAAATAGAGGAACAACAATAATATTAGTAACGTTATAGTCTGAAGAGGTTGGGTAAGATACAAATAAGTCAGTATACTGCATTTGACATATAACTTCAAACTTCAACAAAAAATTTAACAATATACAGTTAAGAGACAAATAGTATGGATAAATATTTACAACTTTACTTTTTATTTTCATTATTAATATTTTTCTATTTAATAACTTTTTGGGTTATTTAATTTTGTCAAGTATATGAGATGAAGCAATCACGACTTTTAGTTAAACTATCTACTATGAGATAAGAGTTTCGACAAGCTGCTTCTTGATTTAATCAAATTCTACTGAAAAAATGGACACAAGCATATGATAAAGGAAAATAATATGGACATATGACCACCAATTTAGTATAGTGCATGAACTTTATTTTAAAAGGAACACGAACCTTACTAATATGTGTCCTAGTCAAAATCACCTTTGAAAGAATAAAATCATGGTTTGATGAACGTGACATGAAAACAAAGATCATGTTACAAGCAGGACATGAGTACCCTGAAGAAATTTATGTCTTCCACAAAGAACACCAACAACAGGCTAGCATGTGTTTTGTGTAAAGATATAATAGGGAAAATGGTTAGTTTAAAGTTCAATAATTGTCAAAGTCACAACATGGTGGACAAGCACAAATATATACAGTCATATTGCATGATTGGTGGTATGATTATGGAAAGTTTCAAACTCTCCGACTACCTTGCTCACATGTTATAGATGTATGTTCCGCATGTTATTTGTATATTAGTACATATGTTAATCCAATATATAGGTTAGACCGAATTTTCAAAGCTTATGAACATCAATTTCATCTGGTATTAATTTCCTTATATTGGTCCAAATTTTATTCTCGATTCACTATTACATAAAGAATCAAGAAGGCCTAATACGACACCTCCAAACGAAATGCATCGGTCAAATTCAAGTAAGAAAAAAAATACTCATTTTGTCATATTGATGGTCATAACCATAGTAATTATTTGCATAGACAATAATAATATAATATATTTTATCTCTTTTAATTATTGTTATAATTTGAATTTTTTTTGCTTATGAATTTATAAGCTTATAAAAGAATTATATAATAATATTATCAAAATATATAATATCATAAAAAATATATAATAATATTTTTATAATTAAAATAAACAAATAAAAAGTAAAACATATAAATAATAAGGTTTGAATTAAAAAAAATTAAACAAATTTAAAAATAGCGAAGTCATCTTATTTACTTATTTTAAAAAGAAAGTCTCAACCCAAAATCGTGCTAGGAAATATGATTTTTTTCACTACCTACTCCTCTCACCTAAAACAACTTACCCATCTTCGTAAAATTTTCAAAATTTACTCGTGTGATATAAATTTCACTTAGAATTACATCAAATATGTAAAAAGGCCCTCCTATTAGAGACCTAGATGAAAATTGTGAACATGACCACGAGACCTATCACAAGGATGAGTGCACATAGGTCGAAAAAAAGTTTTTTCTGTGGAAGAGATGCATCTAGAATGGGTTAAAGAAGTGAAAACAAAGCTAAATGAGATGTGAAAAGTGTCAACTTTAATTTATATATTTATGTTAAGTGCTACTTCACCTAATTGTATTTAGCAAGATAGGTCTTTTTCTAGCAGGTTTAGAAAACATTTAACCTACTGTAAAAATAATTCCTTATTACCGTGTAAGTTTCGGAGGTAAAATTCTTGTACGTAATAGTTATATGGCAATTTCAGAAATCCGTAAGTATTTCATATGGTATTATCTATAAGAAACAATCATGCAAAATTACCTGGTAAAGTTCGTATAAATTATCTATTCCTGCAAATAAAACTTGTAAGTAAATTTATCCTATAATCTAACTAGAATGTTATTTTCTTTACAAAAATATAAAACATGTTCACATTGATTGTGATGATCGTGATTCTAGTGCTAATTTTGGTGTTAGTCTTAATTCAAAAATTTAATTTAATCAAGATTCTAACCAATATAGTTAAGATTACGTTGGTTTTATGTATTTATGCTCTGATGGCGTGTACCACGATACTAGTTCAAGTGTTTGTAATTATTGGAACTGAAATAGGATAAGTTACCTTACCTACAAACAACAATGGAGAAATGAGAAAACAGAGAGCACAAACATGTTGAAAGAGACGAAGAGAGTGCCCATGAACAAACCCTTTTGAAGAAGATAAAAAAAAAGTGCACGTAACCAAGGTTGTGTGTGTGGTGAGTAAAATACTCCACGCTTTAAGTTCCTAACTAATGTTACCAATTGTTAACTTATTAACGAAACAATTGAATATCTTTGTTTAGGTTAAGACGTAACTACATAAGCTAATATATTTCATTCATATCTTGTAATAGCTGGAAGAACAGGGGAAGAATAAATACGGCACACTCATTCTTCACAACACAAATCATAAGAAAAAACACCAAACTAGTACCACTGGCAGATGAGTATTAAATTCAGCCATTGCAATGACATGGAATACTGAATTAAAACCTACCTACTACTACACAACAATACAAACATAAACTATTGTTCACCATTTCACTCCATAATTAGCAGCTACGCTCGCTAGTTTTGGACAACTGCAAACTAAATTAACTACCACACCAAGTAAACACAACCACAAGTAAATCAGTATACAGTCACAAATCAGACCAAAAAACCTCAAACAATCTATGGCTATTTTTAATGCATAACACTAAACTACTGCTGAAAGGCATTAAGTAAATTTGTAATCAAAAGATGCATGCTACTTCCCAATCCTAATTGAGTTCCAGATAAACATCACGAATCTGTTTGCTGTTGTTGGGGTGGCTGTTGTTGCTGAGGTTGTGTATGGGGCCATGGCATGAAAGCCATGGGAGGTCGAGGCTGCTGTGTAGAATATACCGCTGCTTGATCAACTGGCTTTCCCATCATCATCCCAGGAGGTCCCGCAGGATGCTGCGGAGGGACATAGTAATAGGGCATATCCGCTGGAGAACCCACTAACGGAATAGTAGCCTTAGTTATTCCAAGTCCTTCCTCTTTCAGCTCATCTCTTGGAATAATATCAACCAAGAAATCGAAAACATCGTTTCTTGAAATAGCAGCTGCTATATCATTCTTTTGTAGAGTTCTCCTCTTGTTCTCTTCAGTGTGAATCCAAGACCGTAATGTTAACTCCAATATGAACATTTCACATGCTTTTGCAAATATGACTGGAGCTTCTGCTGAAATCATTCGGACATCTTCATCAGCTTTCATTATCTTTTTTATTCGTGCAAGAGGGAGACTGTGGTTTTTAAAGTCAATTGTTTGCTCAATTTCTTGCATTTGATTTGACCAGAACATTTGAAGCTGCTGTTGTTGGTGCTGCTGCTGTTGATGGTGGAAATGCTGTGCTTGCTGATATGCAAGCTGGTGAGCAGAACTAGAGAAGGCAGCAGGAGCCTGTGTTGGAGAAGCAACAGCTACAGCAGGTGTGCCAGCAGCCACTATGGGAGCAGTCTGGTAGTGAGAAGAATAGGGCATTTGACTAGCACCTGCAGCAACTCCCATCACATGCTGCTGCTGCTGCTGTTGTTGTTGAATGAGATCTGATTTATCCATGATGATTTACTGCTTTCAGATTTATCTTCTATCTATCCTCTCTATATAGTTCTATAATAAAAATAAAAGAGAAATCTCATCATATGATATTAAATTGCAAGGATACTGGACTTATAAATAGATCAAAAAATTATTAAAACAATAGGTTATATCAAAAATGTAAAAAATAATCTGAGATCAAATCTTTATGGATTCAATATTTTCCTACTTTTAACCTAACAATTCCTGCTTTCAACAACCTACCAACAACCGTAATATCTGCTTTGTATACTCGCATACAACGCCATATCAGTAATAAGTGAAATCAGAAGTGTAGTACGAAGTAGGAATATAAACCATTGATAACTAATGGTTAATAAAAGACAAAACTTTGAGGCACTAAATTGTAGTAGGACACATGTCAAGTCTAAACATGAAGATCAACATACTTAATCGAACTTGTCATACATGGCATCACCTTGAAATGGATTAAAAAATAACGGAAATAAAAGATTAGCATGTAAATCTCAAATTAAATTGAAACAACAACGATAACAGAAATAAATAACATACTTACATCTTCCCATTCCTTAACAGATGACTTGAATCTTAGACCAAATTCTATACTACACCTTTAACATTTAGCTAGTTATACCAAGGATTAAAAACATGGCATTCACAACCCACAGTAAAAGATAACAAATAGAGAAATTAGTGCTCCAAATTAGTCATAAGATCCAAGTATCCAACCTTAGAAGGCCTATTAATAATAAATATCTACACCATCAATAAGCTAACATTGATTGAACTTATGAAAGAGCAAACAAACAAAAGGAAAAACAGAGTATCAATTGCATTCGACAAAATCCAATTCCAAAAAACCAAAGGACAGAAGTTGAACAATCGGAAGACCAAAGAGATAACAGGCCATCATTGTGTTCTCAGTTCACAGTGTTGAACATTTTTAATCTTGAAAAGTATAAGACAAAGAAAACTCCAAAGTGTAAGAGACCACAAATCATTCTGCATGCAGAGCTGGAAATTAATATTTTACTTTTCACACCAACTCCAAACTGAAAGCCTGTTCTGTTGCAGAACAATAGCAAAACTATTCACTTCCCGGCAGTAGTTTATACCCCTTCCCTCGATTTTCAAAACATATTGCTATTAACCATCCAAGACTCCAGTAAAACACGAAATTTCGTATGTCACACAAAATCCATGCAATAAAATAAACCCTCTAATGCATGCAGAGAGTGTATCGTAATTATTAATTCCGAAAAAATTCCTGACGCCCTGAAATTCTTGTACCTTTAAAAAAGAAAACTACAAACTCATCGAAAACCCTTTTTTACCAAACAAAATATCAAAGTCACAACAATGCTAAACTCCGGCCAATAACGATCCAAACAAACAGAGATGATCAAAACAAGAATATGAAATGCCAGACCTACAAAATTGACACATAAAAACAAACACCAATGAAAAAAAAAACGGAAAAAAATCATTTTCTTAGCGTTTAACGAAAAGCAAACAAGGAGAACGAGAAAGAAATTTACCCATGAAAAGGGGCAAGGCTTTACGTTGGAGAGCCGGAGTCAGTGGCGGAGAAAACCCTAGGAGAGAGAAAGTGAGGTATGGTTTCAATATAAGAAGGAGATAGACAGTGTAGTTGAACAGTTTATGCCTTTCAAATTGAAGCTAGTGTGTGGGAGTCCTAGAGAGAGAAAGAAGAGATAGAGGGAAAAAAAGTGCGCTTCTAGGAGCATCTATCTGGTATCGACACGTGGCGAAGGAGGAAAGTTCTGACATTCGAAGGGGTTTCCAGAGACACGTGGCGCAAATGTAGTGGTTATCACAGCGTTTGTGATAGCGACTGCGACGTTTCGTGGTGTCGACAGCGCAAGCGCGTGACGGATGGTTTGGGAATAGCACAAAAGTCAAGGGTTGTACGGGAATTTCACCACACATTGTTGTTCCGCTTTCGAATAACTTATATTATTTAAACATTAAACTTTAAATAATATTAATCGCTCTTAATTATTAATAGTTAAAACATATTCTTTAGATTAATAATTTTAAATAATTCTTATTTTATTTCTTTTATTTTTATAATATTATAATAAAAATTCATTTTTTTCCATATGTATCATACTTCTTTTTAATATTTCAAAAGAAAATTATTAATAAGAGTGATTTCAGAATAAAATATATTACTACATTATTTTAAAAATAAGTTATTTAAAATTAGAAAAATATATTTATATGAAGAATTTTGTCTAACATTACATAATTCATATATCTAACATGAAATTCATAATAAAATAACATTTTTATTCAATAAACAATTATTACAAAAACTTATTTATGAAATACTGTTATCAATCTTTCTATCTATTATATTTTTTTCTCTATGTTCCATAGGTATCATATTTTTTTTTTTATATCTCTTATACTCAAAACAACCATTTGTATTAACTATTTTTCTTATATCTTATCATTTTCAATAATCAATAACATAATTAAAATCATTATTTTTATTTATTGAAAAATCATATTATCTTATAAAATAAGACACCAAATTAAGCTATAAAAGTGTAAGGTTGAATTTGTTTAAAATATATTTTTCTACTTAATCATTAAATCTTAATAAGTAAATAAATAAATAATATCTGAAAATATCTTTTATATTTGACATTAATCTTTTATTTTAAACAAATAATGTTATTAATAAAAATGTAATTTAGACATGTATATATGAATTAAATGGTATAGTATCACAAACTTAAAAAAATCTTTATAATATAATTATTTTTAAAATAATTATTATAAAAAAACTATAAAAAATTATTTAAAAAAAATTGTAACTCAATTGACTTAACTTAATCTAATCCAATTAAGAGTGAATTGGGTTAGATTGGGTCTAACAAAAATATACACAAATACAACCCAATTCAACTAAAAAAAATTGATTCCATTGAATCAATGGTTTCGTGAAATTTGACCCAACCCATGTATACCTCTAATAAATATATATAGTTATGTAAAAATTAATATAAAAATTGATATACTTTTTATTAACACATGCATTAACCTTATAAGCTTATTTATTATATTATATTTTAATTAACATGCCAAAAATTTTAATCCATAGAAATATATATATTTTAGTTTTGATTTATTATATTAAATATCATATTTTATTACAAACACATATCTCTAGTAGATTTTTATCTTCTTATTATTCCTAAGAAAATATTTCATTGCATACATAAATTGGTCAAACATTGTTTATCAAATGGTCTTATGAGCTTTGGTTAGTCAATATAACACTAGACACACTAGTGTGCTTTAGTTGACTAACATGTGTTTTATCAAATGATTTGATGAGAAGCAGCTAGTTGTGTTTAAACTAGTTGTTGACATAAGATTCAATTAAGATGTGCTTTTTTTAGATGAGTTGAAACCATGTAGTGACACTGACTGAATGAATATAATCACATTAAGAAGAATTAGTGACATTTGGTGAAAACCAAAAGGAGAGGATACTGGAATAGGAAACATTGATATACACTTTAATTTTGTTAGTAAATGATCTTAAATTATTACCTTAAAAAGTATCTTGCATTATGTCATAAAGACTATTGAGTCTAACAGAAAATTACAAAAACACATCCTCCTAAGAGGATTGCTAATAATATCCTTCAAGGACAATCTTTTTTGTGAGAAATGTATGAAGATAAACTAGTTAAAGAATCTTTTAAAAGCAAATTTGTGTCTCACTGTGATAGAACTTTTGAGTAATTGCATATCATATTATTTGGTCCAACAAAAACCGCATTTATTCATGATAAAAAATATGATTTGGTCATTGTAGATAGCTATACTAGATGGACCTCAATAAAAATTTTAACCTAAGGATAAGTCCTCTGATACCTTTTATAAGTTGTGGAAAAATATTCAAAATGAAAAGAGTTTACTCTTTTTTTTTTTATAAGAAATGATCACAACGATGAATTCTAAAATGAAAATTTTCTATATTTTGTAAAGAAAATAATATTAAAGAAAATTTCACTCCAAGAACACCATAACAAAATTGGTTGTTGAGAAAACAAAAAATCGTACCTTACAAGAAATAACTAAAACCATTTTGAATGCTAACACCACCTAAATACTTTTAGATTAAATGAATATGGTTTGTTATTTACAAAATAGAATTTAAATAAGGTTAATTATTAAAACACTCATTATAAATTGTGGAAGAATAGAAAATCCAACATATCACATTTTCATCCTTTTCGTAATAAATGTTTTATCTTAAATACTAAAGAAAATTTTGATAGCAAGAATGATGATAAAGGAATCCAACTTGAATACTCTGAGACATTTAAGGTTTATAGAGTGTTTAAAAGATATTGTATTGAAGAGACCATTCATGTTAGGATCAATAACTATATGTCTCATAAGAAATTAAGTTGGATGGATTCTTTATAAAATTGTAGGTTAATGAAAAAGATATATGAGAAAAGTTTAGTGGTACATTAATGAATATGAAACTCAATGAGATAAGTTTAATACTTGACCAAATTAGAAGTGGTAACCAATACGTAAAAATCATTTAATCACAAGAAATCATATTATTGAAGTTATACTTGGGATCGATAAATCCAAAAACTAGATTATCATTTCAATATGGACAACCAACTTTCATCTCAAGTACCGAGTTTAAGATGATGATAAATGAAGCATTAGACGATGAACATTGTGTCAAAACTATGCAAGAAGAAGACCAATTCCAAAAGAATGATGTGTGAGAATTGGTTGATCTACAGGAAACAAGAAGGCTGTCAGAATCAAATGGCTCTATAGGAATAAACTAGTGACCAAGATTTAGGGTTTACTTACTTGTCATATAAAAGTTCATTAGTCCCATTAACAGTTATAATGTTCATTAATACATATTAAAAGCTATAATGACTCGTTAAATGTCATTAATAATTAATTATAATGATTTAAATGCACTAAAAACTTATTATATTCGACCCAAAATCTTCCTCCACTTGAAAAAAGGTAGTCGTCTAACGAGTAGTTCATCATCCATCTTCAGTTTCCTTGATACTCAGAGTTAGGCTTTGCAATGCTTGCTTCATCTTCTTAATCTTAGACTTAATCATGGGTCCTTTCATGTCATGCAAAGTATCCTTGGGATGATTTGTTAGATATCTATCATTTAATTATTTCGTCATACTAAATTTTATTATTCCCACTTTCTTATTTTTTTTTAGTACCCAGACAAAACTTTATGGTGAGTAACATTTTTGTACACATACAATCACAAAAATACTTTCAGTTTAGGATTCATGGTTTAAAAATTTATTCTTTCTCCTACAACTATTTCTAGAAATGTTTATACAAACATTTTCTAAAACTAGCTATCCTGAGAAAGTAAAAGGAGGGATTTCGCAGTCCAAAATTCAATGTACAAAAAGCGTTAAGTCCAAATGTTCATCTGCACATCCTATTTATATGGTTTTCACACACATTTACATATTCTGATATTCACAACAATAAACAGCAAAGAGAGCAGGACCATAAAACTACAATACAAACAATTATTCTTGGCCCATATTTGTGAATAACATATAGCCATTTTGGAGAATAATTGAGAGAACTATACATGGCAATCAGATCAAATTTGTTGATTTTCATTTAGATGCCTTGTGGCCCTGTCCTTTGGTCTGAACAGCAGCTGCAGACATAACACGCAGGCGGCGAGCAATTTCTGTGAAGGATGGTCTGACTGTAGGATTGGGTGCCCAACACTGCTCCATTAGTGTTTTCCACTCAAGATCACAATAACTAGGGATTGTGGGTCTTAATGTGTTATTCACAATACCCCCTGCATATATTGTACAAGGAAGTTAGAAAATTTTCTTTAGGATTGAGGGTGAGGGGAAACTGAATGATTTCTTTAATGATGGGTTTGTAAGTTGTGATAATTGTCATTTGTAAATGGTTATGAAGCTTATGACACACTTTTGAGTTTTTGCCTTTTCAAGTAGGACTTGCATGCAAGTTCTAGAGAGATTAAACAAATTGTTAAAGGAAAAGAAGTCAAAAATTGATAGATGTTGGATGCATACATGCATGCAATGCAAGGGCAATGTTATTTTATGTCTACCATCTGAAACTACAATTTAGAATTTAAAAATAAACTTCAGTTGTTCTTAAATTTGTACATAAAAGGCATTTGTCTTCTATAATTTTCTCATCAACAGAGAGAGATGTCATGGCAAACTTATAGAAGCTTCATATTTATGGAAACTTACATTTCAAGGAAGGGGTGGTGAAAAATATTGAAATTTGGCAGAAAAATTCTCTGATAATTTTCATAGCAGAGCAATTACTCTTAAATATAATACAAAGAATTTAATTAAGGAAACTCCTAATTTATGATAGACATAATCTATCTCTATAATTCAGCCAGCCTATCCTCATAATTTTGAAATGTAATTAATTCTGCACAACAAAATATTATCTTAAGTATATTTCTAGAGATTCTGACATTGTCTTCAGCATATTTCTAGAGATTCTGACAATTCTAAACTTTGTAATAAACAAGAATATTTAGCTGCCCAACGAGTGTCTGCTATAATGGTTGTTTTTGTGTAAGGTTGTTTTGTAAGTTGAAGTACATAAGTTGAGAAACTCATTATATTTTTTCTTTTTATTTTCCTCTCTTGGAAGTCCTTATGCAGAAGTTTGTCTAAACATGTCCTTATTGTGGTTTAATTATATTTTCCTTTTAACTTGATTGCTAATGGTTAATAATGCAATTGGGCCTTCAGGTTTTACCCATTTGATCAGTTTTATAAAAACTACATTTTCACTGTGTAGCCGGATTATTATAAAGTTTTAAAACAATTATCAATACTAAGTACTGTTGATGCAAACCAGTGCCTCAGAAGGTGAAAGACTATTAGAGTACAAACAATAGTAAACAAGGTTCCAAAGGGAAGAGAAAAGGACCGCACCTATAATTGCACCATAGTGCATATTAGCATATGGCTCTTCACCAGTAAGAATCTCCCATAAGACAATGCCAAAAGAGAACACATCAACCTAAAGATAAGATATAATAGCATTAATAATCAGTGCTTCTCAAACAATAAAGATAGGAGAGACAATACAGGCAATATAATCCACTAAATATTGTAATTTCTTTCTTCTTTCAATTTTGAATAGACAAATTGGAACAAGATGAAAAGGTATTAAAACATTGAGAGATGCCAATTGAATTATGTTGGTGATAATTTCAATATCGGTTAGGAGGAAAATACAAATCAACTTGTTGACTATTTTCATATTCCTTGTAACTGACAGTGATTCTAAATTTCCACTGAACTTTTGAAAAGTTACCTTTTCTGAGACCTTATTGCTGCTACCATTTAGCAGCTCTGGTGCCATCCAAGGTAGAGTTCCACGAACACCACCAGACACCAGGGTGTTTCGCTTAATCTTTGATAGGCCAAAATCGCCAACCTGTTGAAAAGCAAGTTTCTTAGCTTTGTCGCATTGAATACAAAAATTACAATAGAATGACTAATTCCCATTTTGAATGGATACCTTGCATATTGGCCGTAAAGGATCCTTCAAGTTCACAAGCAAATTGTCACATTTCAAATCAAAATGCACAATATTTTTTGAGTGTAAATATTCCATTCCAAATGCTGCATCCATGGCTATTATCAGCCTCTTTCGGCGATCAAGATATCTGGAATCATGATCATGCAAAAATCTGACCATTTTTCTTGATGATAAAATAGTTAGTGGTATCTAAGGATTATAGCAAGTAGAAAAATATCAGGGCTTTATCATATGAAATTTTGATATGAGAGGATCCCAAGGAGGATGGTTGCATTACCTATCCTTACGAAGCAAAACATTCCTGAGAGAACCATCCACCATGTACTCAGTAACAGTCGCTAATGTTGCTCCTGGTCCATCCTGAACTACACCATAAAATGCCACCACATTTGGATGGTGAAGCTTGGAAAGTATGTCAGCTTCCCGCCAGAACTCTATGGTCTGAGAGTAGAAATGAATACAAATATAAGTGTGGCCAGATAAAATACGTGGCTAGGAGTCTAAAACATTGAGAGAAGAACCACAGTCACTAATGAGCAAGTTACCAGTCTCTCTTGTTCTGAAGATCTGCCAGCAAAACAGCTTTTCTTTATTCTTTTAATAGCAACATCCGATCCCCTCCATTTTCCATGGTATACAGTCCCAAAGGTACCAGAACCCAGCTCACGCAGCTCTTCAAGATCATCATTCTTTATGAACTGCCATGGACATTATAAATATATTTATAAATCAGAATGTTAGGAAATGTTATGAACTCATTCTATAATTTAATTACATCAAGCTTTGTCATTCATCTTACTGATGATACAGGGAAAAACATATTATGTAATGGTTGTGGATTAATAACTCAATTAACATCAAGGTTACTGAAGAGTGTTGTACATACCCAGACCTAACAACTAGGTCAAATAGATAATTGATCAAGATACTCGGCACCCCTTTGAGATATTAGGAACATGTATGATAAAATAGGAATAAATATCCCATGATTTTCAGGTAGTTATACTTGGATATTATCCTATAAAAAGGTTTGACATCTTTTTTATTCTCAACTAAAATTTTTCTCATATTATACACTCATTCATTTTACTAACTTAAACATCGGAAAACCTTTGCACGTAGTTCCCCTCTTCTTCCACATGCATTGGAACAACTTGGAAGACATGCCATAGAGCTTGGTTAATCTCTAAATCTAAGTCAGAATATTTGACATCTACCGAAGGAGGTTGAAGATAGAGATTCGGTCAAATTCTACCCTTTAGTCCTCCACCAAGGGTTATGTTCTAATATATACTCATATGTCCCACATCAGTTAGGATTCAAAGTCAATAATAATTTATGTACACTTTCCTTTCTTAATTCACCTATGCGCCTTTTAAGGACTAAATCTTAACAAAGTAAAGTTTTGAAGCGGACAATACCTTAAATGTGATAATGAACCCTAACGATGCTATTATATCGGACATAAAATGTTGAAACTCTTTAATGAAAATAGAGAATACCTTTTATCAGTTTTGACTTTTTAGTTTTTAAAAATTAAAATACAAAAATTGTTTGGCCTGGACTTATTTTTACCTATAAAATTTCACACAGGTGAATATTATAAGTTTTGTATCATATGTTATGCATAATCCATTTGAGACAAGATGGAAATTGAACTCCTCATTTCTACAGTGGGCAATAGAAAAGTAGACAAAAATTATTATTCTCTGTAGAAAAGGCAGGTATAATACATCGACGCAAACAAAATGATACATCCAAGCATAATACCTGCACAGTACTGGTGTCAAAGTTCCCTACAGCCACATTCCTTGTTTTATTCTTGTCATCCTAAACTCAATACATTAAAAGATTTGTCAGCAGAAAGAGCAAATTTGTGCAGACGCCTAAAATAAAGAACCATTAATAACATACCTCCTGGTATTCAGATTCATGCGGTCTTATATTTTCCATTATGGCTTCCATGTTCTTATTTTCACTGCCCTTTAGTTGGGAATGCTCATATTTCTGTTGAACCGGAGTTGTTTCTGTTTTAGTGGTTATAGGTACATTTTTCTGATTTTCATCACCACCAAAATTTAGGTGGTATTCCTTGTGTCCTGCCAAAGCACCATCTGCAGGTAGAGCAGCAAATTGCTGAGATTTACTATCTCCGTCTTGAACTTTCCTCACTGCAGATGAAAAACCAAGATTATCCTGATCAATTAAAGAAACATTATCAAACCCCTCTTGGGCCAAGTTCTGAAAATATGACCAACGTTTAGGTTCATGATTGTCCATTTTTAAGCTCAAACCTGCTCTATCTGTTGGTAACGGACTAATACTTGAGGAATCTTCAGAATGTATTGCTTTGGAGAACATATCATAAAGGAAATCACGGGGAAACCTGTCCTCAATATCAATAAGAATGTCGCCCTGAGTAGGTCTTGATTTAGCTTCTTGGGGAAAATTTTGAGAAACATCTTGGCCTGTGTTTCCAGTTAAAGGAAAAGGCAGAGCGTGGACCTTATTACCGTTATCAGCTTCCCTCCTAGAAGAAGCCTCAACCAAATTGAGGTCTTGATGTTTAGATGATGGATTCAGATAATGTTCAATAGGAGGAACCTGATGAAATGCCAGAGGTCCAGTACCTTTGGTTTCATCAACTAAGAAAATGATATGATCATCTTTGGATCGATTGATATCGTTTTCTGAACTAAGTACCTGGTCCTCATTTCTGGAAACCTTATTATCTGCTAACCCTTGCCTCAACTCAGAAGTCACAAGTGGTGATAACTTTGACTTCAACTTATTTGTTGTATCAGGCAACTGTTTGTATGTCGGTGGCAGGTCAAATCCATCATCAATGGTATTACCATCTGCTTGCAAAGGCTTTGCTGCTGAGCTGGACATAATGTTCGGATTTGACATATTCTCATTGAGCAATATGTCACTGGATTCTGTTACTGAATTATTCTGGTTGAAGTCGGAAAGCAAATCTGACATGAGTAAGTGAGAACCATGTGCATCATCTGACTTTGTAGATCGATTCAGCAAATCTGCCTGCTCCCTTGGAATTCTCTCTGAATAATAGACTCTGTTGGGAAGTGGAGGTGGTTCTAGGCAACTGAAATCAATCACATTGGACTCAGCATCAACTGGAGGACAGATGAATGCATTAGTGGTAGTATAGAAGTCATCTTCACCAGACTTAGGAGTCTGTGTGGGATTCGTTCTACCGATTAATGAATAAGCATCTTCGGACTGCTGGTGCTTACCCTTGCTCTTTGATGGCAGTACAGGATGAAGACCTTCTGATATAGCAGCTGTAACAGGTGCCTCTGGTAAAATAGCATGCAAATTTTCCTCAATTGGCAGGGAAGCAATAGGATAGTGTGCTTCCGAGGGGAAAACCTTTCCTGGTTCACTGCCTGTATGAATGAAATTATCATCCTTTCTTTTTACCAGCATGTCTGGGACAGCTGAAATTTGTACCTGCAACTCGCTCGATGCTTGTCCATCATTCATGATCCCTTGGTTAACAAGACTATGAATAGGCACAGAAGCTGGAATCTCTCCAAGATTGCGAGCGGAGTTATTAGAAGGAACCAGCCCTTGCTGTAGTGGATATTGACTAGGTTCCCCAAGGTGAATAACCTGGTCATCATAAAACAATGGATGGGTTTCATGAGCATTAGAGGAGATTGGAAGCATTGGTTGTGATGATTGAATAGTCAATGATGATTTAACGTTGTCAGTCAAGGATGAACTGCTAACACCAAATGAGTCCATCAAAACTCTGTTGGTCTCCCTCTCATTATTTTGTTCATTCAATTCATGCAAGTTATTAGTAGAGCCGCTTGCAGCATGAAGGAATGAGTTGTTTCTTGAACCGATGTCCATGCCATTAACAGCAACTACATACTGTATTTCAGAATCACCATCAATGCTAGCTATGCCAAATTCATCTAAATCATTTATAGAGAACAGAAACATCCTAAGCTTTGTTAATCCTCTTCCGCCTTGTAAATCATGACATTCCTCCATCATATTCCGCAGATCCTCATCAGAAGATACTGAAACTAACGCATCAAGATCTTCTCCAGGGAGCTGATACTTTATCACATGAGCTTCACTATAAATTAATGATGTTTTCTGCACAAGCTCCTGAAAACGTATGTCCCTTCTTATACTAATAATACGGGTTTCACCCCCAACATATCTAAGCTTGCCATCGCTAGGCCTTGGCAATATTCTACCCCCAAAGCTGCATAGAATCTTCATCTTCATTGATGTGTTTTGAGAAGCACTGGAAGAGGCAGTACCATGCAGGACTAGGTAACTGTCTTGATTAGATGAAGTTCTAGGAATTGATCGAGCTGAACCATAATTACTTCTGTCCTGGTGTTGAGAAGAGTTCCTTCTGTCAAACTCTTTTAGACCCTTTTCCGCCTTTGTGAGCACAGATATATCAGATCCACTCTCGGATCCTGTATGTCCCAAAATGCCTTTCAATTCCATATATCCTGCTGAATAGTTGGGATCACCCACAACATTTGGAAAGGAAGGCTTCCTGAGATTCACCTTATCTCTCATGAACTCGAGAGCAAATTCCTCACCTGTCTGTATGGAATAATTAAGTACAGGTTTATTTTCAGACATATTATATGCCAGAGGTCGTGCATTGATATGCATGCCATCGCGAAGGTCTTGCGGGACCACTTGCGATGCGGAATGGAATTCCTGATTTCTAGGTTCCATGAAATTGTATTAATATTTCTGCATCTTGGTTGTCTAGTCAAAGCCTCATTTGTGAAGTTAAATGCATGCATTTACTGTAATGCCAGAGTACTGGGAAGCCACTTAACATCATGTAGAAATAATGAACCAAATACTGTAAATTCAATCTCCAAATCTCAGAAACAGGACTGCTAACAACTCCAAAAGTTTGAACTCTTGACACATGGCAATGGGTCAGAGAGAAGCTTTCCAATGCTCAAGTTTGTCACCATAATCAACACATGAAGAAGCTTCCACAATCTTAACAATTCTAAAGACTAGGTACCCTCCTCAAAGATCAAAATACCTACAGAATATGTCACCCTGCGTGCATGATGAAATTAAGAAACTGCTCAGCATGTAAGATGAAGCAAGATACAGAAACAAGTACATAATGGGACGAATTATACCCAACAAAGTCAATTGGAAAATATATCACCAACATATTATGAGTTGTCAAAACATTCAACTTCTCGTATACCACACTAGCAACTTATTTACGTGCCGTTGTTATCAAAATTGAAGAGTTTGTTATCTAATACTAGTAGCAGGATGTAGTGAATCAAAACCCAACACCAGACACTAAAAAGTAGGGGAAAATACATTACCCCTCTTCATTTTAGCAAATCAAACTACATGCAAATCAAATGGAAAAATAAGTAAATAAGATATTTAGGTCATCTAAAAATAGACCCATATATTAGATCACTTCTTCTCAACTCACCCCTGATCATATAATTCACAAATTATCAAACTTGACTCTTAATTCAACCTTTCCCAACCAAACACAGCACGCAGGATCATAAGTACACAGATCAAATTTGATTCAATTAACAGCAGAAGACATCACTAATCATAAAACCACAGCTGAATCAGGAAAAGGATGGAACAGAATCAACTAAATACCTGACTGATGATTGTTTTGAGCTTGATATATATATAGGTATGGCTCAAGAAGGTTTCAAACCCATGGCTGGTATCTGGGGGAAAACTGAAATCAAATGAAAAAGTATATATGGGAAAGAAATAAAAAAGAATCCACCTTTGTCTACCCCATCTTTTGATCTGACTTTTTATCTTTTGGGTTCCGAACAGTGTGAATCTACTTCAATGATCCTCTTGGAACAAAATGACAACACACACTCTCTCTTCTTTCTCTCTCTATACGTGGATTTGAGAAGCTGTGTGTCCAATTTTGGAATAAATTGTTTTCATATCAGCAAAACAGTCAAAGGAGTGAAGACAGCGTTATGTCCAAAATATTTCCATCTTTTTTTATTACTCTTACGGCAATAGTTCGTTAATCGTTGGCCACGTGTCAGTTTTATAAGGAGAGAAATTAACGTTGTATATATATACACTGAAAATAATAATTAAAAAACAGTTTTACGAAAAACGTTAGAATTGAAGAAGTTGAACCTTTATAAAAGCATATAATAAAAACCTCTCCATGAGAAAAGAAAAGAAAGTAATTGCATTAACTATGTTTGTATAATTAATATAAAACAATATTTTTAATCAAAAGAATAGTTCACAAAAATAAAACCAATTATAACACGTGAATTATTGCCTAGCAAACATTTACAACAAAATTAAATTCATTTAAAAATACATTAGAACGCAAGTTTTTTTGTCGAAAAAATTATAAACCGTGAAACAATGGATTAAAATAAAATTGGACCCGTTAAAAAGACATATATATATATATATATATATATATATATATATATATATATATATATATAATGTAATTCATGGATAGAAATTAAAAATAATAATAATAATAAGTTTAATTGGAGGAAATTAAATCAAGATGAGAGAAGCAAGAACAATAAAAAAAATTAAAAGACGTAGAAATAAAAATGGAAGAACAAAGGAAAAATAAGTGCAAAGGTTAATTATCCTTGAATCATGAATGACTTATGGACAACTCTACCAATTGAAAGAAAATTCAAAGTTATTAGAATTAAAAATCCATGTTAAGATACACATTAATAGACAATGACTGATATAAGCTAGGTGTATAGAAAATGAAAGGGTTTAGGTATGAAGGTAACACTCATCCAATTAAGCCTTTGTTTTTTTATTTAAACATATTGGGTGGAAGTTTTATAAATTACATAATACAGTATATTTATAAATTTAACCTCTTATTTTTTTAATATTTTTTTTAATTTTTTTATTATTTATTAAAAATATATCATGTGATCCCTTAAAATCAATAATTAATATTCATCATTATAACTTCTTCTTCTTCTCGTGACTTAAGTTCTTCTTTAGTTAGTTCTTGATGTCATGAAAAGATTTTATTTACAAATTTTGTTAATTTATTTCAGAAAAAGACAGATAAGTTATGTTAAAACTATTACTCAGATAAGAAGAACTAATTTGTATACATCATTATTAATCTTATAGAGTCAAATATGACTATGACTAATGAACTAGTAGAGTAGCTAATAGATGAATCAGATCATTAGAGTAGTCTAGTGGATAATGCATTAGCTAAAGACTATCAAACCAGCATCAACTAATACTCACCCGACCAAACTAGCTAAATACATGATACAAAATAAAAGACTAATAATTCTGAAGCAAAATAATTATTATTTAAAATTTACATGATTTACATAAAATAAAGACAAAAAATATTATATCCCTTATAAAAAAATAATTTCTTTTACCAAAATAAATTTTAACCAAAAAATCCAACCAATTTTGCATTTTATTTAGTTTTATACCAATTTAATTATTTTAAATAACATACCCAATTCCAAATTGATTTTCAATTGGATCGATTAAATCAGCCTAACCAAATCAATTTTTAATACATTGCAAAATATCCCTTTATTTGTAACAATTAATTTCTTTAAAATAAGGAAACAAAATATGTTAATACGAATAAAAAGTTCTAAAGATTTTTATCCTAATTAATATATAGATTTTGAAGATATTTTTATCTGTATAAACCTTTATTTGCAACAATAGGTAAAGTCAGATGGGTAAGGTGGGGTGATAAGGTATATAAATAGAAAGAGGTCAAGAAGGATGGATTCATTCAGTAGAAAATTATTAGGAAGTGTAGAGAGAGAGAGAGAGAGAGAGAGAGAGAGAGAGAGAGAGAGAGAGAGGTATTGAGGAACTTTGAAATTAACCTCTTGAAGAGTATTTAACTGTGTGCAGCACCTTGCTCAGAAACAGTAACTAGAAGGAGATACTAAAGTTTTTAGTTTCACTCTTTTACCATTTGGATCTCTCACTGAAGCAAAAGGTAGCCTGTGCACAAACTTATCGGTAGTTGTAGTAGTAAAACCCAATGCTTGTAAATTCAAGGATTAAGAATGAAAAAAAGAAAAAGAAACTATGAAGCTGAATAGAAACTAAAATGGACAGTTTAAATTTGTACTAAGGCAGTTGAATGTACAACAATAATTTAACCATGCAACCATTGAATCATCGAAAAAATGATAGTGTAGCAGACAGCATTTCCCCTGTTGTAATGAAATACAACTTCGGAGTACCGTTCAATGAATAAAATCAGCAGAATCCATTTTCACCAACATAAAGCATCAATGGCAATATTGGTAAGAAGGGGAACCAACATCAGCATCATTTGGATGGCTTCTGGCCCTGTGTTTTAGCTGCTGCGGACATTATGCGCAAACGACTGGCTATTTCTGTGAAGGATGGCCTAGCTGCAGGATTGGGTGCCCAACACTGCTCCATCAGTGTCCTCCATTCAGAATCACAATAATCTGGTATTGTTGGCCTTAATGTGTTATTCACAATCCCTCCTGTATAAGCAGAAATTAGTAGTTGTCTAACTTGTGCACCACATGAATAGTATGTTAAGATGCCTGTCTAAAACGGGCATGCACACGCCATTCCCAAAGCAACATGAGGTTGCATCTGCATTTTTATATCATTAGGTTTTAGCATGACACGGAAATGTGGCAGCGGGACACAAATCCTAAACACTAGAAAACTTGACCTGATAGGTGGTAAAATTAGAACAATTTGTAACTCTACGTTAGCATTATTTTACTGCTCCATTCCATTTGATTCCATCTTAGGGGGAGACCTAACTGTCATAGGAACATCATGAATGTATATTGTAAAAGGCAGTCACAAGTAATTCGGCCCAGTGCTTTAAAACATTGATCACGCATATCGTCTAAAAAACATACTTGTCTAACACATTTTAGTGGTACTGCCCCGAGTCATGGGTGTAAATAAACCCCTGGGATTTCTCCTCATTTTCATCTTCTAATAATAATATTACACACATTTTCATTATATATGTGCTAGTTCTTTTGAAAGCCCAACCTTCCTCAGTTCTCCAACTTTGATTACTAAATTCACAAACGCTGATGTGCTCACTATTTTAAGAAACCAGAAGAAGCTTTCTAAATATTTTACTTGAATTAGAAGTAGAAACCAATTCCAGGAGGATGCAACAAGAATGTAATAGCGCAGACATGAAAAAGAACATACAAAAAAGATCATACCTATGATTGCACCATAGTGCATATTGGCATATGGCTCCTCACCAGTTAGAATCTCCCATAATACAATGCCAAAGGAGAACACATCAACCTACAAATAAAAGTTCAATTTCAGCAATCAAGAAATCCAAGCAACAAGGTGAATGTAAACAGAAACAGAGGTGATATAGAAGGATTGTAAATCTCCTATACCCCTTTCGAAAAGATTTCCAAAAGTACAATCTAAACAGAAAATTTTGTATGTTTAAAATGTTTAAAGAAAAATAATTTTACTTAAATTTCTACTCCAACGCAAATTTATCAATCTTCGTTAGCAGCACATAGCAAGATGGCCTATATTTTTTTATACAAATTAAATCATTTATACTATATACATGTAAATGCTCAAAAATTAAAAACTACTCAAAATTTGGAACAGAGGTTACCCATAGTTCACTAACGGTTTTTTTAATTTCTAGAAAGTGGGAGAGAAAACTTTGCCCCTAAAATACACCCCAAAAATATTCTGTTTTGAGGGCAAAAAATAGCTTTTTCTGAAACCCCTCAATTGATAGCTGCTAAAGGCCACATTGTGGCATAGACAGCCACAATTTCAGAATTTGTGACTCAACAAGATGGACGGATGGCACAAGATCTTAATGATAAGGAAAATGAGGCAAAGAATGCAACAATGTGCCAAGGACAAGTAACTCTATCAAAAAGAAGTCGTTAAAGGTGAGAGAAGATGACGAAATAAAAGAAAAAAGGGGATGACAAGAAGAAGGGGGTGGGAATGTTAGCATCGTCTTCCCGCTACTTGTCCTTTCTCCCTCTCTCTCTCTGAGAACTTTTCTTCCCCTCAGTTAGATTTCTTCTACATTTTGTTTTTGCAATTTTCCATAAATAGTTGGAATATTGATTGTATTGATACAACACTTGACTTAATACAATCCTCCTTATTCATCTGCTGCCATTAAATTTTGTAAGTTCATTACACTCTACTATTCAAACTTTGTAGGATCTGCACCACTATAGCACTCAAACAATAACTGACGGTGAAAAATGAGAGGAAGAACATAGTCCAAGATACTGCAGACAAATGAGACAAAGAGACTTTTGCCACTATTTTAACATCTAGAAGAGAGACCAATACAACTCAGTTCCTTAGTTAAAGGTGACCATAGAAGAAGCATTTCATTTAAACAGATAAAAATTATACCTTTTCAGAGACCTTGTTGCTGCTACCATTCAGAAGCTCTGGTGCCATCCAAGGAAGAGTCCCCCGCACACCGCCAGAAACCAAGGTATTTCTTTTAATTTTTGACAAGCCAAAATCCCCAACCTGGAAAAGCAATTAAGTCTTCTCAACCTGTATTTTAAATGCAGAAAATTTCATGGTCATAAAAAACCGGAGAAAAAGTCCCAGGTTAGATACCTTGCATATAGGCCGCATTGGATCTTTCAAGTTCACCAACAAATTGTCACATTTTAAGTCAAAGTGTACAATATTTTTTGAGTGTAAATATTCCATTCCAAAAGCTGCGTCCATTGCAATTATCAGTCTCTTGCGACGATCAAGATGCCTACAATGAAATCCAGATCCTTCACTAATATATGCACACATACATATTATCATTCATCTCATATAGGACAGGAATTGTCATTGTTTCATGGCATGACTTTCACTTCAAATAGGAGGCAAATAGTAAGCCTTGAGCTGGTAATAGCTCCATGTGGTTAGTTTTTAAATACAATGATCTGAAATACAAATCAACATTTTCGGTAAATGCTTGACAAAACTAAATAACAAAAAGCTTTTTCTAGGTGCATTACCTATCCTTGCGAAGCAATGCATGCCTAAGAGAACCATCCACCATGTACTCTGTAACAGTAGCCATTGTTCCTCCTGGTCCATCTTGCACTACACCATAAAATGCCACCACATTTGGATGATGAAGTTTTGAAAGAATATCTGCTTCCCTCCAGAATTCTACAGTCTGAAAATATAACCACATCATCTCAAATGCCTCAAACCACCACAATCATTGAAGAACTTTCATGTAAATGTAGTGAGAATGAAAAAGGGAAAACAAGTTGGGACATAATTTAAATGAAAAGAGATAGCATGCCATCAAACAGAAATTAAATTATAACTTACCAGTCTCTCTTGCTCAGATGATCGACCAGTGAAGCAAATTTTCTTTATTCTTTTGATGGCAACATCTGTTCCTCGCCATTTTCCATGATATACAGTCCCAAAGGTACCAGAACCCAGTTCCTTCAGTTCTTCAAGATCGTCATTCATTATGACCTACAAATTGCATTACAATAAAGAAAGAAATGGATTAAAGATTTTCAGGCCAGTGATCAAGCAAGAGAATAAATCTGATTTACATGAATATTTGTGAAGGCATAAAAAATAGCAAGATAGTTAGAGAAGCAGACAGTTGACAAGATCAAATGAGGGAATGAAAAATGTCCAAGGCATATACCACAACCAAGAACGTTCTTGACGTCCATAAAATGCATTGTTAGTCTACATATTATGGATCATGTAGAAGAAACATTCTACCGAAGAATTTGAAAGTTAAATAGAAGCTATGAATAACTTTCATAACTTCTACTTCCCAATACCACCCTCAAAGCTCCACTAGGTGAAAGTAACACACAGACACACTACCTCTTGTCAAAATTGGTGTAATTTAATAGTCAAATCTATATCAATTATTTTGGGAAGTTTCTGTACTCGTCGTTGGTTATAATAACAATTTAAATTAGGTCCCCAAGTAATGTGTTTTAAGGTTTACTTTTGAAGTAATTTCAGAAGGTAAATTTAGCCAGAAAGAACTATTAGGAACTGCATCAAAAACAGCACGAGCAGTAGTTATCATTTGATGAAGAATTTGACCATTTACTCTAGACAGAAACCTAATTTTCAGTAGTTAAAGTTTTGCTCCGGTAAAGCACACCCCCTTTTTCATCAGTGAAGAACCACCAAAATTATTAACATACTGTTAAAGATTTTTGAAGCCTCAGCAGTCAGAACAAGCAAGTAGTCACCTTACAACTTAGGAAAGCCAAAAGACTGCTTAAGACTATGCATATGATCATTCAGTTTAAAAGACATAATTACACTGTATTGCATCATAATCAATCAAAAATAAAGAAATGTTAGAGCTAAATCCTCTTGAAAATGTTGTAACACAAACTACAATCCACAGAAAATCTCCTCACATTGTCTATTCTAGCCTCGAAGTTACAATTTTTTCCATTATAACCAGATTTCATCCTCTCTTTAGGTTCTCTGTAACAGCTTGCACCAGATTAGAAAATAAGATAGATGTATTCCCAAACATATTATTAAAGGTAAAATTTGATACGTTTACATGTGTTGAGCTGTAAATTTTCAGAAAAAAATTCAAATAATAAGAAATTAACAACTACTGATGCAATGAGAAACTGAAAGGCAATGTCCATCACTAAGGGTATGAATGGATTAACATAATCAGGTCATGTTCATCACCAAAATACAAGCCTCCTAATCTACTGAAAAGTGCAAACTTAAAATGTTGAACCCAACCTAATCAACCCTTGACAATTAAATGAATAATTAAAAACCAAACAAGGGAAATATGCATTCTCAATGCTATTCAAAGTAGCATTCATTTATACACAAGACAACAATCCATTTACAGAAGTCAGATAACCAGTAATGAACTTTCTTAAGCAAAATCTCTTTAACTCCCGTACCCACAATTACAAACACAAGAATATTGCACACACATGAATAAGCATCTTACCTGCAGAGAATTTGGATCAAACTCTCCCAAAGAAGGATCAAGAGGAGGTAAATTGCTATGCCTTTTTTCAAACACCCCAGCCTAGGTGATAAGAACTTCTGTTAGTATATAAACATACTTATACATAGTCCAAAACCAAAGGTAGTTAAAATCATACCTCGTATTCTGACTCTTGAGCTCTTATGTTGTCGGTCATAACATCAAATTGCATACTTTTCTTTTCATTTGCTTGGGAATGATCATAGTTAGATTTCGTATCTGCTCCAAGCTTCCCATGCAAGTCTCCTGTATTTTCGACAAAATCAAGGTGGGACTCTGCATGGTTCAGAGAAACATCATCAGTTGTTAAAGGAGTAACATGTTGAGCCCTATCATCTCCAACCATTTTTCCCACCACAGGTGAAAAACCAAGATGATCTTGGTCAATAAGAGACACATTATCTATCCCTTCTTGAGCCAGTTTTTGAAAATATGACCATCGTTTAGGTTCATGATTTTCCATGTTTACACTTAAGCCCACTCCATCTGAGATTAATGGATGCAAAGTAGAGGGGTCTTCTTCGAGTACTGCTTTAGAGAATATATCAGTGAAAAATTCACGGGGGAATCGATCATTAATATCAATAAGTATGTCACCTTGCGCTGATTTGGAAACATCTGAAGGAAATTCTTCAGAATCATCTATATTCCCATTTAAAGATACAGGTACTTGCACATTAATATTGTCATTAGACTCCTTCACAGAGATATCACCCCAATCAACTTCTGGAAGATTGGATGCAGGATCGTTAAGGTGCTTACGAGAAGAAACCTGGTGCAAATTTGGCATGTCAGCTTCACTGGATTTTGTCTCATTTGGTTTGCTATAGATATTGTTACTATAAATTTCCATTTCCAACCCAATAACATTATCCTTATTTAATGTATGTCCTTCATTGTCTGATAACATCTGCTTCATCTCAGGATTCACATGCTCAGGTAGCTTTGGTTTGATTTGAGTGCTTGCATCAGGCAGCTGTTTGTATATTTGATTAAGGACAACCCCATTATCAACAGAATAGACATCACCATGCAACGGATTTTCATTGATGCCTGATTCTTCATTTAGATTAGGAAGATTCCCATCATACAACTTGTCACCAGATTCTGTAAATGAATCCGGTGGGTTGACGTCAGAGAGTAAATCAGAAACATGAAACTGAGAGTTGTGTGTATCATCAGATTTTGAAGATCGGTTCAGCAAATCTACTTGTTCCCGTGGAATTCTCTCTGAATAGTAAACTCTTTTAGGAAGAGGAGGAGGATGAAGAGAACTCAAGTCAGATGCATTGGTGTTGGAATCAACATAAGTAGGACCAAATGCACTGCTAGATGTAGAAGAAGTCTCTTCGTGATCTTGGAGCTTGTCCATTTTTGCCGGATGCAATAAATACCCCTCTGGTGCAGTAACTACAACAGATGTTTCAGGAAAACTATTTTTCATGTAACCATTCAGCAGTTGAGTAGGAGCTGCTAATGGTAATTCTGAGGCCAAAACTTTCCCAGGGTCACTTCCTTGTGGAATTGAACTATTAACCAGCTTGTTTACAAATGTTGCTGGTATTTCTGAATTTTGTACTTGTACTCCTCGAGGCGGAAGGCCTTCATTCATAATCCCTTGTTGATTAACAAGGGTATGAGGAGGCATAATTATAGGAGTCTCAAAAACAGGTTTATGAGAAGGATTAAGGCCATGATTAATAAGATACTGATCACTAAGTTCCCCATGGCGCATCATTTGATCACCATAAAACTGTGGATACTTTTCATACGAATTTGAGGAAGTTGGTAGCACTGGTGTTGAAGACTGAGAAGCTAGTGATGTGTCAAAATTGTTAGTTGGGGGAGCATTGCCTTGTACAATAGATTCTACACCAACTCTATCAGTCTCCCTGTCAATATTTTGCCCATCCAATTCATTTATGTCATTTGCAGAAAAGCTGACACCAATCATGGCATTTTTTCTTGATCCCAAGTCCATGCCATTAACAGCAACAACATACTGAATCTCAGAATCATCACCCATACTGCTGAGACCAAACTTAGTATCCTCCAAATCACTAATTGAGAAGAAAAACATCCTAAGCTTTTGTGATCCTTCCCTATCATGTAGATGATTAAATTCCTCCATCATATTCTGCAAATCCTCATCAGATGACACAGACACCAAAGCATCAAGATCCTCCCCAGGAAGCTGATACTTGATTGCATACACCTGATTATAGATTTGTAATGCTTTCTGCATGAGCTCCTGCCAAGATATGTCCTTTCTTATTCGAAGAATACGCGTTTGGCCTCCAACATACCTTAGCTTTCCATCACATGGTCGTGGCAATATTCTACCACCAAAGCTGCAAAGAAACTTCATAATCATTGATCTATCATAAACTCCAAAAGAGCCATACCCAGGCACAAATTGTCTATTGTCCTGATTCAATGAAGTTCTTGGCATTGACAGAATAGATCCATAGTTGCTTCTGTCTCCAGGTAATGATGTATTAGTTCTATCAAATTCTTTTGGATATTTGTCAGCCATTGAGAGCATAGAAATATCAGATCCACTTTCAGATCCAGCATGACTGATGCCTAAAATGCCTTTTAGTTCCATATAACCTGGGGTATAATTTGAATCACTGACATTTGATAATACAGGCTTCCTGATATTCACCCTATCTCTCATAAATTCAAGAGCAAATTCTTCACCTGTTTGTATGGAGTAATTAAGTACAGGTTTAACTTCTGATGTAATTAGGTCAACTGGTCTTCTACTGGTATGTAAGCCATCCAGATGGTCCTGCATCACTGGCTGTGTTCCAAGCTGGTGGTATTCATCAAGTCTAGGTTCCATGTTATTGTATAATATCGTGTTTTCGAATCTTGATTGTTCCATCACACCATCTTTTTCTTCTTTATAATAGATAAATGCTCTAAATATTTGAGAAAAAAATGAAGCACTACACTTTTAGTAACTGAGCAGTTTTAGTCACTGCATAAAAAATTGAAGCAGCAACTGCAATCTTGGAAACTGTCAAGAATTGTTGTACTTTTTTCTCCCAAAAATGCAAATTAAATATAAAGCATGCGCCCTGTGTAAACACAATGGCATCAGGACAAGTTCCAGTAATAAATTGACATGAAATAAAATGTCACAGTAGATGCAAACAAATACATGAACTGCCTGCAGACAACAATATAAATAAGCTAAGCTACAAAGAGAATAACTAGAAAAAGGGTAAGCACAATGGCCCTCCGTACCTTTTCCTAATAACATTAACAAATTCTTATGCAATAAATAACATTGGTACAAAATGATGAATTCAGGGGTAACCAAAAGATAATCTATTTAGTGAACAACTTTAACTGCATTTACATGGTTAAAAAGGGCTGTTATGTCGTTGGAGAATGATTTCAATGACTATACATCAAAGAGATCATGCAAACTTGCAAATGTCTCAGTAAGTTCTCAAATATATTGCTAAGATGATAATGACATTGGCATTTTATATAAGCTCTTCAGTCAACTAGTCTAAACTATTTTTAGGTATTGAATTCCACAAAATGTGCTAAGCTTTTGGTCATCTTATAAGCACAAAAATTAGCAAAACGATTTCTTTAGAGGGTAAATCATCAAATATCCAAACACAGCTGCAAGTAGCAGTTAAGCAAGAGAGACCATCACCAACACAAAAAAATAAAACACTGATGACCAAAAACAGAACAACTTAAACATAACAAATTTGGTCATAATCTAGACGCCACGAGAAACACCATCAATGAAAACCCTTCTACTCCATCTCAATCCCTAAACCCAAGTTAACCAACCTAGGGTTCTGCCTACAATATTGAAGCTTCACAATGAGGCACAAAAAAACAAAACCAGAAAAAATCAACAAAGAGAATCCAAGCACAGCAAAATACAGACAGAATATGAAACTGAATCTAGCTACCCAATGAGGCAAAAAAGCAACTAGAAAACAAAACTTTCTCTTACCCAATGGTCTAAGCTCAAAAGATGCAGTCCAGTTACGGGCAAAGAATGGATCAGAGACCAATTTTTGCATCCAAAACCAGAGGTTTGGGAGGAAAATGAGATGAACCCACTTGTTTGTTCTCCTCTGGGTGTCACGCAGTAACGTTGGTTTCACACTACAGTGTGAATCAACTTGTACTTCAAGTTGTTGAACTCCTTTCTGCAGCAAAAGACGGTTCTTTTCTCTCTCTACCAGTTGCACCCACCGTCCATTATGCCGAAACTAGTTTTATTATTTATTTATATTTATATCTGCATTTAGTCAAACGAGACACATTCAGCCTAGCCCCATCCTTACTGATAAATACAGAAGGGACAACGTGACCATTCCTCTGCACAGCCAACTCTTCCTTTTTTTCCTTTTTTTCTATTACAAAATCAAATAAAATCATTTGTATTGATATTCGAAAAAATCATAGATATATTTAATCATCAATATTTGATTATATGATTTAAAATTGGTTTATTTTTATTATATAATAATAATAATGCTTTAAATCGAAACACATTGTACATGTTAAGGTTTTAGAATGGATGAAGTCACTTGATTATTTGAAGTTAAGAAATTTAACTATGAAATATTTAATTTTTTTATATTTTTATATGATGTTATCTATAAAATAGAAAAATTGTATGAGAAATATAAAGGATTCTATGGACTTTTCAAATAAAAATCAATGAAAAAAATTATATATTGTCACACAAGTCATGACATCAACAATAAAATTATAAAAATGTTTTTTTATATATTTAAGTTTTCTATTAAAATATTGACACATTATTGATAAATTCAAAAATATATAAAAATTTATATAAAAACATCAATCATAATATTACTAACTATCATTTTATATACTTATTATAGAATTCAAATTATAAGTTATTTCTAAAATCATTTAAATATAGTTTTCAAAAAAGTATAATATATTATTAGTTAACACGAGAGGTACTTTAATCATAAAATGATCGGTTCATGGATGTATCATAGGATAGTTCTTTTAGAAGAAAAAAAAATAGAATGTCATTATATTATATTCTGATATCATGTGGTTAAAAGTTAAAATTAATGGTTTTTTATACATTCTCTTCTTTGTACTTTTTAATGTATTTTTTTAAAATAAAATCTTAATGAACTATATTTTTAAAACAAAGGTAAAAATGATATCGAAATATTCTTATTATGATAACTCATGAGTCTCACATTATTTAAAAATTGAAATAAAAGTAGTTTATATACGTTATTTTCTCTCAATCCATCGAGACATCTTTTAATAAAAAAATTATATTAACTTTCATTTTTAGATGAAACCTATTGAATAATGGTTTGTTTTCCTCGTATAGTTTAATAAACTTTAAAATGTTTTCATAATATTTTTGCAATAATTTAAATGATCGTTTAAAATTAGAGGTGTTAATATGTGTTTTAATTTGTGAGCCAATCCGGCTCATTACGGGTTCGAGCCAGGTTAGGTTCAATTTTTTTCATTTCGCCAATAATGGGTTAAAAATGAACCTAGTTCACTTAACCCACGGGTTAAGCATGTTCGAAGTCGGGTTATGGTGGGTTGACTTGCAACCTACCATTCATTTTAAATTTTAAAAAAAAATAATAATAATTTAGTAATTTTAATTGATTTTTTTTCTCCACCTCTATTCCATGTCGTTACTACAAGTCAAACTCTCACTCAAGGTTATTATCAATTACTTTATAATGTTTTGTCGCATTTCAATCGCATCATAACTTTTGTCATGTTAATGTCACACCGTCTTAGTCTCGCATTTCAATTGCATCACAATGTTTGTCATGTCACATCATTCGTCGCACCAATGCATTTGTCGCATCACTACGTTATCGTGTTTCAGTTGTATCATAGCATTTGTCACATTTCAGTTGCATTACAGAGTTTGTTGTGTTACCGCGTCATTACGTTCAATCTCATTATTCAGTCGTGCTTATTAGAAAAAACAAAACAAAAAAAAATGTTGGTTTGTGAGCCAACTCACCAACTCATAACGGGTTGAATTGAGTTGCAAAATTTCTGACTTGTCATAAAGTGAGTCGGGTTAAACTTGTCTATTTTCAACTCAATTCGTGGTCGGATTGACTCATCACGCTCCTATTTAAAATTAAGGTAGCAAATTAGAATACATAGATTTTTTTATTGGTCCACTCAAAGTAATGTACATCCAATCATCCTTCACAAATAATAAAGGTGACCCACGATAGTCCACGTATTACAAAGTAACTATTATCATTTGTCACTCCTAGAAAAAATCTTTTTGGTACACTTTAACTCCCCTTATTAATGCACGGGTATTTTTAATATTAAAATACTTCTCACTCAAATAAAGTACATTAAACCTCTCTCAACATTACCCTAAATAGATATTTAGAGTAGTTATAGGTTCCTAACTCTCATAGAGACGATATAAAAGTTTATCTTGTATACTAAAGTTTTCTGCTTCACACACCGAAGGGTATTATAATTGTTAAAGATAGTAAAATGAGTCAATAATGCCTATTTGGCCCATTAAGCATCATTTTATCCTATCCTAGAACATTAAAAATTAAGGTGGATAGGTAGGCTTCAGGAAGAGCTTCACACCCTAACCCATCATATTAGAGAGTGAGTTAGCAAGTTGATATTTTTAATAAAAAAATGTTTTTTAGTTTTATAAAAAAATTATATATTTTAAAAAAATATATATGATTATATCAATATTTTTAAGTTTTTATTTGTTAATTAATATCTTTTGTTGAATAAACTAAGAGGAATTGTTACATTTATATGTTAAATTACTCAATTATAAATAATAATTTTTACTTAATTTCTAAAAAATTATAATTTAATTTATAATATTATTATATATTTACATATTCAAACTACATAATACAAAAAGTTATAATATTTAAAAATATATTTTTTTATTTTAATAAATTATTAATATATACATATATATTAAAGAAAGAAAAAAAGTTGTTGAGCCTACTTATCTTGCACCATTTTTGGCCCCCCAATTAGCATGTTAGGCATGAAGAAACAAGGTGGGCTAATAAATTAAAAATGTCTTCTTGTTAACTAATTTGACAAGAGTATTCTACACTAAAAATTTTTAGCCAAATGAAATAAATGTTTTACAATAAAGGAGTTGATCTTATCTCTCATTGATTGGATATGAAGATTGAGATAATATTTTTAAAATTATTTCATAGTCATCAAGACAAATTATCCCATTACACAAGTATTACAAAAACTTTGAGCTCGTTAGCAGAATAATGGTTTGGTTCGTAGAACTATCAAAGTTTAGAATAACAAATAAAAGCTAAGGACCAATGAAAATTGATATTCTAAGAGGGCCCAATGAAATGATAATGGAACAAGTTGAGTATAAAATATTGATAGTTGACTTAAAGTTAATCAAAAAAATGAGAGTAAAACAATCATGTTACATAAGTGATTGTAAGTTAATGATAGGACAAGTAATAAGGGAATTCCAAGCTAAGCTCAATTTAATATGTCTTTCACATTGATCCTACAGGATTGACGTGGATAACACATATTATCCATTATCTAATAAATGGAGTACCATCAAACAACCTAGATAAATGTAGAAGGATGAGGCAAAGTGAACATTCTTTGTCCTCCACAATGGATAGTTGTTTAAAAAAGGGTTCTTAGCCCCTTTATTAAAATGCTTAAACCATAATTAAGTTAAATATATAACGAACAAGCTACACAATAGCATATGCAAGATAAACTTTGGTGGAATGGAAGCTTGAATACTCTAAGTTGTATATTATTGGTCTACCTTAAAAA